TTTTGTGTTTTTGACATTGTGTGATTGGTTGTCCGATGCAAATGGAACTATTGGCGCGTCATCTCTTGGTGAATCCGTTCATGCTGCCCCCAATGCTGCCCCGTGCAGCATTGCAGCCCAATTGGAGACTCCTGAGTAAAAAAAATTCCATAAGCTTTTTGATATAAACTGATTAAAGTAATATTTACCGGGAATGGTACTTTCATTTTTATTGAGCAAAAGAAAAGTACCGAAACAAAAGTTCTCGGTAGACTGCTATTGCGGCGATGAACTTGAGCCGGTTTCCTCTTCACAGATCGGGAGACGACAGAGCTTCGAGATGGGTCGTTTGTAATTTCCATTCTTTGTGCGTACGGTCGCTACTCGCACCAACTGATCGGCGCCAGGGTGCAATTCGATGACTCGTCCAAGCAGCCATTCGTTTGGTGGCAATCGATCATCCTTGATTAATACGAGCTCATTGAGTTTCAAGTTTGGCTGTGTTTGATGCCACTTCGGTCGATTTTGCAAATATGACAGCCAATCGGAAGACCATCGCGACCAAAACTGTTGGATCATGCGTTGCAGAGCGATGTAGTTGTTGCTGAGTGACACCTTGATTGTGGGTTGCTCGGGTGGTGGCGCAAGCAACGATTCCCCGATCAAAAAATGGCCAGGCGTTAGCACATCCAAGTCGTCGATGTCAGATGTGAGTGGGCATAATGGTCTCGAATTGAGACATGATTCGATACGTACTAATACGGTTGACAATTCTTCGTATGTTAATCGTGTGCCTTCGATGATGCGCTTCAAGTGGTACTTCGTTGACTTAACGTTGGCTTCCCACAAACCACCGAAATTGGGTGAATGAGGCGGATTGAAATGCCATTGAATGCCTCTTTCAGCGAGCTTTGGTACGATATCTGTTTCAATTGATTTGGCATTGAGCGCATTGTCTGCCCCAATGAAATTGGTGCCGTTGTCGCTGAACATGTGTTGGCACAGACCTCTGCGACCGATAAATCGATGTAATGCACAAAGAAAATGTTCGGTTGACATACCTGTCACTGCTTCCAAATGGACTGCTTTCGTCGCAAGGCAAATGAACACCACAATGTATCCTTTGTATGTAGTGTTTCCGCGATACTTTGATGATTTCAGTTCGATGGCACCGGTGTAATCAACACCCGTCGCTACAAACGGTCTCGTCGGTGGATTGACTCGATGATATGGCAAATTTCCCATCAATTGACTCGATACTTCAGGTTTGCTTCGAAAACATGTCACACATTTCCGTAGACGAGATGCAACGGTTTGTCGGCCGCTGACCAACCAATATTGATGACGTAAATGTGCTAACGTGAGTGACACACCTCCATGCAATGTGACTTCGTGCGAATGATCAATAAGCAATCGAGTGAAGTGATGACTTTTCGGCATGATGATAGGGTGACGTTGATCATACGGCAAATTTGAACGCTGTAATCTGCCCCGTACTCGAATAATATTGTTCTGGTCGATGAATGGAGCCAAACCTCTGATTCGACTGTTGTTCGGCAGCGATTCGTTCGTGTTGCTATTGCTAACATTAAGAGTTGATTAAAATCACGTCAAATTT